GATTCACATGTATAAATGGGAAAGAGATGATAATAGAAGCATGATAGATTTCATAATTGTGGATAAAAGAATGAGGAGCGCAGTGGTAGATACAAGAGTTTACCGGGGTCCTAGGTAGGAACCGTGCCGTGTAGTGGCGGTTAACAATATCCACTACCCCATAACTTCCAGTGGGTGCCGTAAAAGGCAACAAAGGGAAACAGGCAGGAGATGGGCAGCAGCATCTTCCTGATAACAGAAAAAGTTCAATAAAAAAACCGGGGTTGCCAACCCACTCGCCAAGCTTGGCAAGTATGGCAAATATCCCCAAATGATGAGAGCAACAAAGAGACGGCGGCCAGTACCCCCGGCGGCCCCGCTATTCCTGGCTACGGTGGCGACCATGGTAATGGCGGGGCAGGGGGTGCTAAGAATCTCCGGTGGAGGTTCGGTTGCCACCTAAAACGACTTGACCCGGCAACATACAACGCACGCACCCTGAGGACTGACGAGAAGATCGTGGAGCTGGAAGAAGAGATAGACAAGTTACGCTGGCTTATTATAGGATTATCGGAGGTCCGAAGAGAGGGGGAGGACACGGTAATCCTCGAATCAGGCAACTTGTTCTATCGCCGGGAGGGCGACCATCTGTCCCAAGGAGGTGTCGGATTTATCGCCCACAAGTCTTTCGTTAACAACGTTGCAAAGATTGAGAGTGTGTCAACGAGGGTTGCGTACCTTATACTCAGAATCACCAAACGGTATTCGCTGAAGGTCATACAGGTTTACGCACCAACCTCGGCACACCCCGCTCAGAAGGTGGAGGAAATGTATGAGGATATCTCTAGAGCCATGCATTCCTCCAAAACCCACTATACAGTTAATGGGAGACTTCAATGCAAAACTAGGCACAAGAGAGAACGGTGAGCTGAAAGCAGGGAAATTTGGAATAGGGCAACGGAACCCAAGGGGCCAGTAGCTGGCCGACTTCATGGAGAAAGAGGGACTCTTTATGATGAACTCTTTCTTCCATAAGCGGCTTCACAGTAAGTGGAACTGGTCGAGCCCCGACGGTTCGATAAAAAATGAGATTGACTTCACTATGACGACCAGAGGACAACTGTTCAGTGATGTCTCCGTGATCGTGAGGGTGAAAACTTTTAGCGATCACAGAATGGTTAGAGGCACGCTGAACTTAAAAGTTAAGTTGGAGATGTCTCGTCTAATGAAGTCAAGGCTCCGTCCCCCTCTTGCTCTGGTCCAAAGTCCTGAAACCTATCAGCTCAAGATACAAAACCATTTTTAGTGACTAGAAAACTGCAATGAAGTGGACTATATGAATGACAAGCTCGTGTAAACGTGTACTCGGAGCTAAGTTCTGCAAGACCCGCCGCAGAAGAACACAAAAACTCTCCGATCACACTCTTAATATCAAGGCTGTTAGACGGGAGATAAAGCTACACTCTTCAACAGATTTGACAGCATACAGGAAACTAAACAGACAGATCTCCAAATGCATGCGGCGGGACTTAAGCAACTTCAATACAGCTTGTATTGAAGAAGCGATCGAGCGGAACCAAGGCTCCAAAGTCTTTGCCAGAGATCTGTCTGCCAGAAAGAGCCAACTGTCAAAGCTGAAGACCGAGTGTAGCACTTGAGATTTTGAGTGAGATTGAGAAGTTCTATGGGCCGCTGTACACGTCATGGTGGGAGCCAGACGCAAGTGTGAGTAACGATCCAAGAGCAAGTCTTATCCGACACTATTCCGAAGATATCCCGGACGTCAGTCTAAACGAGATTAGAATGGCTCTCTTGTACCTTAAAATATCAAGTCCCCGGGCGAGGATGGAATTACAGTGGAGCGTCTGAAAGCGGATGGAAAACCAGTACTTGAAGTCCTTCAGAAGCTCTTTAATTCTGTCCTCCATGGTGGCATTACACCGGAGGCGTGGAGCAGAAGTGCTTTGGTCTTGTTCTTCAAGAAAGGTGACTACGCTCTCTTGAAGAACTACAGACCGATTTCCCTTCTGAGCCGCGTCTACGTGCTGTCAAGAGTCATTACGAATCGTCTCGCGCGCAGACTTGACGACTTCCAGCCTCCCGAACAAGCCGGTTTCCGAAAGAGCTTTAGCACCATAGACCTCATACATATCCTTCAGCAAATTGTACAGAAGTCCGAAGAGTACAATTTTCCACTATGTCTGGCGTATGTGGACTATGAAAAAGCCTTTGATTCCGTCGAAATTTGGGCGGTGCTGCAGTCCCTTCAGCGGTGCCAAGTTGACTGTCGGTTGTATATCGAAGTGCTGAAGTGTTTGTACAGTAGAGCAACGATGGCTATCCGAGTACAGAATCAGAGTACGAAACCTATCCAACTGCAGAGAGGTTTAAGAGAGGGTGACGTTATATCCCCGAAACTCTTCACCGCTGCATTGGAAGACGTTTTCAAGCTACTGGACTGGAAAGGATGCGGTATTAACATCAATGGCGAGTACATCACTCACCTTCAATTTTCCGGCGATATAGTCCTTATGGCAGAATCGCTGAAGGACCTAAGCACTATGCTCAATAACCTCAATAGTGTCTCCCAACGGATAGGTCTTAAGATGAACATGGACAAAACAAAAATCATGTTTAAAGTCCAAGTCACACCTATGCCGGTAGTTATTGGAAGCATTAAGCTTGAAGTTGTAGACGAGTAGGTTTACCTGGAACAAATAGTCCGATCAGGTAAGTCCAACTTCGACCGAGAGGTCAATCGACGAATTCAACTCGGCTGGGCAGCGTTCGGAAAACTACGACACATCTTCTCGTTAGACATACCTCAAAACCTGAAAACGAAATTGTACAACCAGTGCGTGTTGCCAGTTGCTTCACTGCTGGCCGTATGAGGAAGCTCAAGGTCGCTCAGCTAGCTATGGAGTGGGCTATGCTCGGGGTTTCTCTGCGTGATAAACTTAGAAATGAGGATATCCGCAGTAGAACCGACAACCGATATGGAAGAAAGGTTCTCGAGTGGCAGCCTCCTACCGGTAGGCGAAGTGTAGGGCGACCCCGCACTAGATGGAGTGACGACCTGTTGAGACATGCAGGTAACCGATGGACTCAGGACCGTGCTTTGTGGCGTTCCTTGGGGGAGGCCTATGTTCAGCAGTGGACTTGTGAAGGGCTATAATGATGATGATGAACGTAGGAACGGATTATTACTTAGTGTCATGCTGAACTAATGGTCTATTTAGGCGTTGGCGTCATCGGACATCTGTGTTTAACACTGCGTTACAGCGAATAAAAACAAAGAGGTTACAAAATAAAGGTGTGAAAGACAAGTTCAAATGTAGACTGAGAGAAAATATAAGTAGTATGGAAGAATTGTGTATAAATGATGTAGACTTTAAGTGGCGGGTAAGAATACCCACTAACACATATCTTCCCGTGGGTGTCGTAAGAGGCGACAGAGGCAAACTGAGACAGAAGATGGGCAGCAGCATCTTTCTGATAACAGCAAAACAACAATAAAACTGCGGTTGCCAACCCGTTCGCCAAGCGTGGCAACTATATCAATATACCCCCCCATGATTTAAGTTACGAAGAGACGGCCCCCAGTCCCCGGCGGCCCCAGTATTCCTGGCTTCGGTGACCATGGTAACGGCTAAGCTAGCTAATGGGTGCTAAGAATCTCCGGTGGAGGTTCGTTTGCCTGCTAAGAAGACTCGACCTAGCAACATATAACGCACGCACCCTGAGAACTTACGAGAAGATCCTTGAGCTGAAAGAAGAGATTGCAAGTTGTGCTGGAATATTATAGAATTATCTGAGGTCCGAAAAGAGTGGGAGGACATGGTAATCCTTGAATCCGGCTACTTGTTCTATCACCGGGAAGGCGACCATCTGTCCCAAGGAGGTGTTGGATTTATCGTTCACAAGTCTCTTTTTAACAACGTTGTAAAAATTGAGAGTGTGTTGACGAGGGTTGCGTACCTTATACTCAGAATCACCAAACGGTATTCGCTGAAGGTCATACATGTTTACCCACCTTTCTAGGCACATCCCGATGAGAAGGTGCAGGAAATATATGAGGATATATCTAGAGCCATGCATTCCTCCAGATATCGACCAGCTGTTCAGTTATGTCTCAGTGATCGCGAGGGTAAAAACCAGCAGCGATCACCGAATGGTGAGAGGCACACTAAACCTAAACGCTAAGTTGGAGAGGTCACGTCTAATGAATTCAATGCTCCGTCCCCCTCGTGCTCTAATATAAAGTCCCGAAAACTTTTAGCACCAGCTAAAAACGTTTTCAGTGCCTAGAATCTGATCGACAGGGTGAGAAATTATGTGATAAGAGAATAGTGTGGATTGCCATTGCCATTGCATTGCCTGATGTTGTGATCAGGATTACGAAAGAAATGCTTCGGTAGTTTGGTCATGTAGAAAGAATGAATGAGGAAAGAGTGACAAGGCAAATTTATAGTGAATTTATAGTTTTAGTGAACGGCAGAGTCGGAAGGGACGCCCTATGCATAAGTTTATCGATCGAATTGGCGAAATATTGAAAATGGGGCAAATTAAGAGTACCTTAAACCAACGAGCGTGTATGCGTAGGTATATGGATGTGGAGGAAGCGAGAGAGGTGTTTCAGGATCGTGCCAAATGGAAGTCCGTAGTCTCTGCCTACCCCTCTTGGTGACATGCGTGAGTGTTTATGTATGTATATTATGTCTTGGTATGACCGTAACATACTGGACGTTGATTAGTGGATGTTCATTTCCAGTAATAAACTGGAATTAGAACTCAAATACGATAATTTGTTTGACATTCATTTCGTAACGTTTGAACATCGTTGCAAACTCATTTATTAATTAGGTTTCCTGGAAATGATAACGAATGTCAACGATAAGAAAGAGGTCAAGAGTGACATGAACATAACTAGATAAAGAGAAGCGTTAACGAAAAACTTTTAGTGTCCTTCTTCGTGGTCAAGCTGCAAGGTCGTGCTTTGCATATAACATTAAATTTTCAAAATGAACAAATTCCTTATTGTTCTTCTGGCTATTTGCCTTGTCAGCGTGAGTAATTTTTTTTAATTTTTTTAATAATAGTTAAATTTGTAATTTCCATTATTTATGTTTATTGCTTAGAAGAGTTTGTTTAGTAAAGATTTATACCGTCTTAGATAAATGGTAATTAAATTTGCTTAAATTTAAGAGAACGTATTTGTTAAAATTGAAAGTTAGCAAGATTTTTTATTTGAAATATATTTAATAATATATTTTATTTGATTGTAATCAAGAGTTCAGTTATATTCAATTCTGTTGGCACTCAGTTTATTAGTGCTGATTTACTAAGTATTAATCCCCATCTGTTATCTGGTCCTTAAATCTTTATGGCTGGTCCATTGCCACCTCAGTTTACTCATATGTTTTCACGGCAAATCTAGTTAAATGTTAGATATATAACCCATATAATCACTAAACAGTGTAACCAAAACATTACGTAGATTAAGAAAGCAGCTATACTGAATATACCATATCATGCAGGTACATGCCTTTGTAAAACGGGACACTGAACCAGTGGCAAGTGAGATCTCGTGGGAGAAAATTCAGAAAGATTTTCAAGACATGGCTAAGACCATTAATGAGAAAGTCAAGGAAACATTCGACCCCGAGCAAGTGAAGAAAAGTTTTAACGATGCTGTTGATAATCTTCATAAGGCGGTAAGAGCAAATTTAACACATAATTATATAAAGTGTGTGTGTATGTATTTATAGTGGTATTTAGTTATATGTATGTTTACATGAATATTTGTTTTTATTATCTTTACTTTATGTTAAGTATATTAATATTATAAAATTTTATTATGAGAGTGCACACTAGATCAGCTTCTCTTTTAATTTGTCCAGTATCAGGCCTGCTGGAAGAAATTTCAATATGAAATAAGCAGTGCCTTTGTACAAAATATCTTTTTTTGTTATCTTCCTTGTAACATTATTTTGTGTGTACATAAATTTTTAAATAAAGAAATAAATAAATAATAAAGTTTTCTAGTGGTGGCGAAAAACAGCAAAAACATGAATAGGATAAAAAGTGATTATATTTTTTTCACCTTATTCGTGTGATATTTTTTATTACTGTTAAGTACTGATATTTCATAATTTAGTTATATGATAATAATATGTTAGATGAAATTCAATTAAAATTAGGGTCGAAAATAGTTTCAAAATTAAAACTTTTGTCAAAACTATAATGTTTTGGGTATTATATACAAGAAATTTTATCATCACAATTATTACAATTCTTTACAAGTCTACTGCTGAATATAGACTTTCCCTAAGGTATGCCATAAAATACGGTTCTGAGCCATTAGCATATTTCGACTTTCTGAATTTATGATTTGAGTGTCATATATATACTTAACTTAGATTAACTTTAAAAAGTATATTAAAACATCTATTAGGAAATTACAATAACATAAATTATATACAATATTAAAAACTATAATAATAAAAAAATAAACTAGAAACTTAATTATCATACCGCACGTCGACCCCACGGACCGATAGTCTCTACAGCAAATGGCACAAATATGTAGTCATCTCTCAGAGACTCATATTTACGCCACTTACTCAGTTCAGCTGCCTCTAAACGAGGTACTCCTGAAATGAGAGGCCGCCAGAGTGTCTACGCAAGTAGCATCCCACACTAGGGCTTTACCTCTCTCCCAAGGGACAAATGTCATACCGTCGGGTCTCCTGCCATCGTCTCTAAATATTCCACAAGGCTCTAAAACCGAGGGAACATTTATAGAGACAAGAGCCCTTCGGATGACATCGTTCAAAGAACTGTGTCGTGAAAATGTAACTTATTTAATAAAAAATGTAATGTGTTAGACGGTCAGCTTTGAATAATGATGTAAAAAAATTTTTGTTTAACATTACTTTGTTTCAGATTGAGGACCTGAAAGCTAAAACCGAGGCTCCTAAGAATTAAGTACAATAAAATTACTTCCGGCAAAGAAAAGTTCAGTAACAAGAACATTGTATTATTCATAATGTAAAATATCAATTAATTAAAAAGTTTGATTATTTTTTTATTTTATAATGGTTTATTATTTCAGATTATTTTAATTCTTAAATACTGTGATGACTAGTGTACGTGTAAATAAAAAACGCTTTCACGAAAGTGATCCACATTATCATTTGAATCAACCATACAGTCTCTCATAAGTCCACTGCTGAACAAAGGCCTCCCCTGAAAAATGCACAGTATTTAGCACAAAACTGTACATGTAGTTAGTACAGTGTTTATAATACTGTGCTAACTACATTCAAACCTTATTACATGTCTTATCAGGTTGTCTCTATTTAGCAGGAGGTTGCTCTTCACTCCTCTCACAAAGCTGCCACCACTCAAGAACCTGATATTACAATTACCTTACATAACCACAGAGACAACTACCAGTCCCAAAAACAAATCATTTCTGTTTTCCAAATTGAGTATTCTTGGCAAAGAAGTAACTTTTATCAATTTTTTACGAGCTACATCATCAAAATTAAATAATTAAGATTGATTTAAAATAAGGATTGAAAATAAATTATTAAAAAATACTTAAATAAAATAAACAAACAAGTTAAAGTTCACCCGGAGGGATATCTTCCGAAAAGTATTGAAACTTTTTTGCGAGAAATAACTTGTCATACTTAAAATACACGTTTAGTCATTGAATTTCTGTTTTCTTGGTCTAAGATAGTAATGATCAAATTGCCACTAAGATAACTAGACTCGGAGAACGTTGTTATACTCTATAAACAATAATAGTTTATAAATGAACAATAAAAATTCAGTACGATCGTCGGTAATGCTTTGAATGCTTTCTTACTTAACATATAAACTGCTTCTTTCTTGTTTTACATTTGAGAAGCTTTTCACTAAAATAATGGTACAGTTTTAAATTCTCTTACAGTTTGTATATGAATTGATCATCTATATTTCATTTGTATTGTAAATGATGTATGTTATAGTGTTTAAAAGTGTAATTTTTAAGTGTAGTTTTCAGACATAATAACATACCATAGTGTAAATTTTATTTATTAAAATACGAAAAAGTTTTTAAAAAATTAAATAGAAAATATTATTAATACGCAAATATTAAAACTAGGAGATTAATAAATGAGAAGATGTTCGCAACATTGTGATAAGCGATTATAAAAAAGTTTAAATCTAATATGTAAAAAAATATTTTTGTTTGATCGTATTTTATACGCTGCTCATCAGATTGTATGCCATAAAATTTATTTTAAATATAGTATGTTAAATTCTTTCAAATTGTTCTTTATCCAAAAGTTAAGAAGATTTTTTTATTTGTTTTTATTCATACAAGCCTGCAAGGGCTAACCTAAGGCAAGGAAACAAAAAGACTGCCGACGTAAAATCTGGAGTATTAGGAGAGTGTTGAAAAACAGTCACTTTGCCTTGGGCGGGTAAGTTGTGCATGAGGACCGACGTATGTACATACATTAAAAATTGTATTGTCTTATTTTATATTTAAAAATGATTAATATTAATAAAAAAACGAGGCAGTACAATTGGCTTTTATTAAATAAAAATACTTTTAAAAGGTTTTTAACGCTTAGGAAACATTATCAAAAGAAATGTAGTGTAATGTAAGTCGCTAGAAAGCTCCAGGCAAGACGGTCAGAGACGCTCAAATAGGATCAGTTCGGGCTTTGTAAGGTTGGCTTATCGGAAGAAGCCTCCATGCATATTAAAACCACCTACAGGGTCAGTCAGCGACTGAAGAGAATATTCTATTATATGATAAAGAAATACGATTTAACATTAAGGGAAATTGATCTCAAAGTAAAATAATGGAGATGAACGTATTTAAAAGTTTTTCTTAATACAAGATTTTTTTGTTATATAAAAGCCTAGTGTGATTTATTTTAATATAGAACTACACTTTTATTATATGTACTAAGATCGGTTATAATATTGGCTGTATTTCTTAATAAGATACTTAAAAATATGATATAAATACATTTTAGAAATTGTAATAATTAACTAATTTAATATTAATATAAACAAACTTCTATATCATATAATGTTACCATGTGGTGGTAATGTAAAAGAATACATCACCCCATTCTGTGGCATATTTTAAGGGCATAAAAACAAGAAAATTAATTTTAATATAATTAGACATATTTGACTGTAAGTGCCTAATGAAAAGCAAGATACGATAAATATTAAATCCTATTTACACTGCATAATAGAAGTAGTCTTTAAATAACTTATGAAGTAGTATTTGCCACGGCAAGTAGTACTGCAATACACGTATTCCTGGTATTAGTTAATCCCATTTTATAATATGGTTGTCACAAGAGTTAGTTGCTGGAGATGCCATGAAGATCTTATGACCCTTGTTTGATTGTTAAATTCATTGTTACAACCCTAATAAATTTACCCATACAAAGGCGACGGGAAACAGTATCAAAGGTGCAAAACGTCTGATAAAAGATTACTGATCCGTTTATAAAGCATGGCGCAGTTTTCTAGAAATTAATTGTTTATAAGCTTAATCATAAAAAGAAAAACTAACAAAAAACAGAAATAATTTAAGTATTATATTTGACGCTTGAACTCCACGTTACTTTCAGGAACAACAACTACTATCAGCAGTAATTTGAGAAAGTTAGTATTTGTTTAAATAAAGTACCAAAAAGTCTTGCAACCATAGAAAACAATTTTTCTTAATCTGTACGCAAATTCTTTGAACATTTCTTTTGCTCTACGAAACGCATAGGCAACTGCAGATAACGTGATTGTAAGATTAAGTACGCACAATTTATTATTAAATAAATTTCAGGGTTTACTGGTACATAAAATCCAGGGTCGTACTGGCAGTATACAAACGGATACGCCACGTATCCATAATCTAAATGTATGAAATAGATACTTTTTATCTTTTTAATTTTATCATTACTAAAATAACAAATTTATTTGCTAATATAAAATATAAAAGAGTAAAAGTTTAAAGTACCTTAATTTATTTTATACGTTTTCATATATCGTGGCTTATAAAACTCTCAGCTTAGCGTGGCGTCTCTTTCTTCTTTCATTAATACAAAAGATGGATCATCCTATACGCACGGAGAATGCTAATCTATTATGTAACAACTCAGAACTTATTCGTCTCTAGTTAACTTCAAACTTCATAATGATTTCATATTTACGCGAACACTACACATTGATTAAAACTACGTTTACGTATTCTATCGCGTTTAATTTTACTTATTTTTATTAAACTCCCGACGTTTCGGGTGTTTTACAGTACCCATCGTCACGGGTGACTGAGGTGATTGACGTCTCGATGTCGGAATTAACCCGGAGTAACTTCAGCTTTTTTAATTATTAGTTTTGGTCCGATCTACGCAGAATGAACTTACTGTATCTTGAAGTCTTGCAGAGGTGTGCTTGGGCTTAGTTTTAATTTTATTAATTACAGGATCCTAAGCAGGTAGTAGTACCCAGCTTCCTTCTGTATTGAAATTAGGATGTTTTTTTTAAATTCAATCCTTGCCTGGAATCGAAGTTCTTTCGCTAGAATTTGTGGTTTATCAAATCGAATTTAATGGCGGGGGCCGTCTAGGATATGATTACAAGCTGCAGACTTCCCGGAAAGTTGGTGTTACACGTCAGCTATGTATGTGTTCTTTTACGCGGGTTTTGATGAATCGATTTGTTTGCCATATATATGAGAAACCACATTTACAATCAAGCTTGTACACTCCTGCATCTTGTAGAGGAATATTGCACTTGAAGGATGGTAAGAACTGACTAATCTTCTTCGGCGGATTGAAGAATGTTCTAATAGAAGCTCGCTTCAAGATGTAACCAATCTTGTCTGTGACACCTCTGACATATGGAATTGTACGGCTGCTTGCGGGATTTGTGACGGCAAGTACATGATCGACCGTGGCCGGCTTCACTCGGTCACTGTGACGTAGGCACGGGACCCGAAGGTTGTTGTCGTGCAGAACCTGCATGACGTGCTGAAGCTCAGCCGCCAGGTGTTTGCTGTCACAAATTCCTCGTGTTCTCTGTAATAAAGATTTGCTCACAGTAGTTATGTAGAGTTTATGGAATTAAGATGTTCTCAAATGCAGTTCATTTGTCTGATGGTAAAATTGTGAAAGTTTCATCTACTTACCGCTTGTAGAACCTTGGAGTTGGTGCAGTATGCAGGGCGACGATAGGAGATATCGGTGAGCCAACGCAACACCATCTACTTGCTTGTAAAACTCTTTATTCTACAATAGATAGCCTATTATGTAATATATAGATAGATATGTAAGGGAACATCTGAATAATACTGCATATTCTGCTAACATGTCGTAGGCATGTAAATAGATATTGAACATCAAAAATGACCATGGTTTCATTGTCAGTAAGACATAGGTCTAACTGACAAAATGGTACGAATACTTAGTGTGTGCTCTTGTGTGTCCTCTGAGTGGTGATAGTATTTTTGCCAAGTGTTGAGCCAATTTCGTAAGTTGGCGAATCGGTCTGAATTACTATTGGACGTAATGGAGCGTCCGGTATGTGTATTTTTAGTAACCCATACAACTTCGGTGGTATGGCACCCCCACACTCAAAACGATTTTGTAACTCGATCTGAAAGTTTTCTGGGCTTTGGACTAGAGCACGAAAGGAACGGAGCGTTGACTTCTTTAGACGAGATCTCTGCAACTTAACATTTTGGTTCAGTGCCTCTCAACATTCGGTGACAACTACCAGTTTTCACCCTCGAGATCACTGAGACAGATATCACTAAATAGTTGTCGTTTGGTTGTCATAATGAAATCAACCTCATTTTTTGTCGAACTGTCGGGGCTCCACTAGGTACACTTTCTGTGGGGCCGCTTTTGGAAGAAAGAGTTCATCATAAAGAGTCTCTTTTTCTCCATAAAGCTGCTGGCCACTTGGGT